ACTTAAGGACCCGACTTTATGCATCAGTTCGGGTACGATTCTTGCTAAAACCCGCCGGAACCGGAACACTAATTTCGAGTATTTCGGACAAAATTTACTTAACCATGGGTTCATAATAGTGTTCGGCACAAACACATCAAATAATCGAATACTACATATATGCGTGTATACATATATATATAGTATTAGTTAATCTGTGATTTTTTGATGTCTGACTTAATTACAAGTATTGACTATCGAGCACTAGTCCATAGCTACATCAGAACATTTAGTCAATACTTAGTTGACTAAAATTCTGAGTATAAATACGTGTAAATTTACAGATCATGTGATGTGCCAATTTTTGATTTAAAATTTTCAAGATGAAATTTTTGTAAAGAACTCTAGTCAAAAATTTTTAAAATTACAATTATTAAAATTTTAATTTGTTTGATCCGTGCAAGCTAGTAAGCTAAATATCGGTATATTTAAATAAAATAGACAAATACTATCCTATTCTGTTTTACAGCCAGAACGTATTATTAAATCATTATTTCCAAGTCTTGTAACTAGTGTTTTTCGCACTTTTAAAAGCCTAATTTGGCTTGTGAATATTACAACTACATTTCTAACGATGAAAAATTAATAATCATGTCGATATTTTATTAATCATTCGAATTACATGATCTGTAAATTTTTTGGTGGCGATTTAACCCCGGTTCATAAAATCCTTAATTAACCAATAAAGTTTTAGTAGTATAGATGCTATATAATTAATATATCCTTATTCACGTTATATACAGGGTTATTAAATTGTAATAGTGTAAAATGCCTTTGACGATGCTTTTTTGAGATTCAAGATGATCTGCTTCTCATTATATTGCAACGAATAATCAACGTTCTTCCGAATCTCTCATCTAAGGTTTTCCCGAAGCACTTTTCTAATTTTCAGTGTTGTTAGCTTTTAAGTTTACCATAACAGATAATATAAACAGCCTATTCTACACCTGATACTGAAATAATTGAAACATGATTGGTTAAAGTCCATGTGATTTATGTGATACTTTCTGATTGGTCAGTGATGTTTATTTTGATGTACTTTTACTGTTTAAACAAACCTTCGCGTTTTATTTTTTTTACACGAATAATATTCTTAGTTTTTCGATTTTTTTTTAAAAACTTTTTTTTTTTCTTAAAGCGTTTTTTTCAAAAACCCTATAGTATTATTAAATACCAATGAAGGTTAGTATTATGTTTGTGAACATTTCGGGATCGGAAGGTTGCTACCGCATGTTTAAGATGCCTATTAAGGTCGACTGGTTCTGGAGAAAGAATCGGTATGCACTTTCCTTAATAGAGCAATCTTGGCTTGTTACGGGGGATACAAGTTTGTCTGTACTGGCTTCTAGAAAGTGTCTAGTTGACTATTAGTGATATATGGCTTGATAAGGGTGTCTAGTTCGCTATTACCCTTTGGCAAGTGTTAGTGCTGTTACTGGCTTTTTGGAAGTGTCGAGTCGGGAACTTGGAATTTTTCGTAATAGGCAACATAATCTGGCTAGTTAATATTCTATTTCAATGTTTACTAATTTTTTATTTTTGCTTTTTTTTTTTAATATAATAGATATTAACATTAAAGATTTTGAACCGGATATTGAATTCAAAATTGTCTTTAAAAATCGAACTTGTATGTAAATATAAGCACATTTTACATAGATATAATTATATTCAATAACTAAATATGCATTTTAATCATTCGAATAAATAAATAAAATAAATCTTGAATTATTTGTATTAATTTTGTAAATCTGCGTATTATACAAATCAAATTAAGGTTAGGGTAGGGTTGGTTTAGGATTGTTTATATCAAAATTACGCAAAGAATTTTTTTATTAATAACTATATAGGCCAAAGCTTATTACGATTGACAAACCCCAAACAAGCTGCAAAAACAGATATTTCTCTTTTGATTTTTGATATTGTAAGTTTCATGTAAATCAAAATAATACTCAAGGAATACGTACTTGATTTTATGGCGATACTGGGTGGATTGACCAAAGGCTGTTACTCAGACTGCTATAGAAGTTAAATAAAGTAATTTATATTCAGAACTACTACTAATACCATACCGAATTAAAAAATATAAGATAATCGCATTAGAAGTTGTTCTAGATATCAGAATATATATTTTAAATTATATATACTATAAAATTTAATCCGGAATAACAAGCACCGGTAAAAACTGCAAAAATTTTTCTTCTTGAGTGATGTAGATTTTATAAAGTTTAAATTTGCCAGCCATCCAATGATCCAATAATAACTTTTTTATTTTACAAAGCTCACTTATCTTTACAAAATAAAAAATTTTATTAAATTGGATTATAGGATGACTGGCAAATTTGAATTTTATTCATAAAATCTATACAGCCTCGGAGGGTCATTTTCCTAGCAAAGATCCCATATTTAAATAAAATATCGATAACGTATGGAACCCGAATTATGATTTACTATAATATCTGATAAATCGAGATTTTGATGTTATGGAGCTCTTGATATAACGGAGCAATAGACTGGAACTATGGCCTCCGTTATATTGAGAGCCACGTGTACTATCCTATTATTTTTTTTACAGCCAGAACTTGTTATTTCCAATCCTTGTTTTTAGTGTTTTTCGCATTTTTAAAAGCCTCATTTGGCTTATAAATATTACATTTCATAATTCGATAATTATTCACAACGATAAGTTAATAATAATTCATCAATTTCGAATCACATGATCTGTAAATTTTTTGGGTGGCGATTTAACATATATAACGATCACTTGCATATTTTCAGTTTCGGCATTAAAACTATATTTGGCTTTTATGTCTTGCTCTATTTCTTTGTAAATAATTACGCCAACTGGCGTCCCTTCGGGAATATATATAATAAATGATGTGTACTAAAGTTTATGATTTCACATTTTGGATGTTCTATAGAATAGGTGGGCAAACTCCGCAACTCCGCTATCAATTAATGATTACTAATCATAAACAAAGCTTGTTTTTTATATTGCCCACCTATTCTATAGAACATATAGAACATCCCAAATTTCCATGTTGCAATAATGGAAATTACTCCACTGGAGTTTAATAAATGGTGCATTTAGAAAATAAGTAGGATTTTTCAATAGTATTTTAAATAGTGGGGTGGGGTAGCGCGCTTTTCTTGTAATTTTAAAATAGTGATTTGACCCGTATGGGTGAGTAACTCGGGTTGATGCCACCCGGGTCACCCGTGGGCTAGACAGTCAGCGAACATAAAACACGAGCAAGGTTGTTGTGAAATTTCGGAATAGAGATTTTGAGAAATTTACAGGGTGATTTATGGTCTACCCGTCGGGTGACCCGTGTGGGAGACTTTTAGATAGGCAAATGTTTTAAAACGTGATTTTAGAACTGATGATTGTTTTATTTTTAATTGTTTAAAAATGTTTTAAAGTGTTTTTTAATCGGCCAAAATGCAATAATTTTAACTTCAGTTAAATTTTAACTTCAGTTTCGATGTTTTAAAACTTTTTTTAAAACAATTAAAAACATATAAAAAATGTTTTTTACCATCCCTACTTTTAGATGACCCGGTTTTCACCCGGGTGGAAATTTTTTAGACGGGTCAAATCACTATTTAGGTTATATTTATAGTGCACGTAAAAAGGCTTTAATTTATTATACTACATCTAGCCTTGCCGAAATCGCTTTTAATATGAATTATTATACTTTAGTAACTTTCTATTGCATACCGCAATGCCAAATTAAAGTTGGGTCCTGAAAACCCAATCCTTTCTTAGTCCTTTAGTATTAGCTAGATTGAATATAAATTTTTTACCTAAATTCCAAATCCTAAAGCATAATCTAAAACCCAAATCCTCTGGTACCCAAACTAACACCGAAATCTCAAATTGCAGTAATCCTACACCAATCAAATTACAGCTGTTTTCGTAAATTCTGGGACATTGCTCGTTTCCCGAAACCCTTTCGATATCTACTTCGGTGTCCTTGGAGATAACGACATGGTTTCCGAAAAGTTAGGTGATTATTAGGACAAGATCGAAGTGAAAACAGTTGTAAATATAAAAAATTTTATATATGCTACGTACACATATAATATCGATATATGAATTTTCAGTTTGTGAATTTTAAATTTCGGGATTTCGAAATCAGTTTGAAATTTCGGCATCAGTTTGGGATTATGGTATTAGATTCGAATTTTGTAACCGGTTTATGGTTTAGACCTTTTTTAAATTTATACAAAGAAAAGATGAATTGGTCTAATATCCTTTGTGTGAGAATTATACCATCTCTTGATTTGGTCTAATATCCTTTGTGTGAGAATTATACAATCTCTTGATTTTTTATAAATTTTTCTTGCCCGGAAAAAATAAATAACTGCGGATCAATCATATGAGGCGTCACGCGTTCACGTGATAGTAAAATGCTTAACCGCTATTAACAAATCAAACACGCTTCTAGCATTAAGCAGAAGTTCGAGCACCAGATACTTTCCTGGAATACATGAATTACTACATTGACAGCAAATGCAAGGAACTTGAAAATGTACACGGGAATCTAGTCAAGGAAGTTGTAAAGACCTTAAAGATGAAAATGTACCGCACGCAGCGCTAATTGAAAAGACGCATATATAGTAGCCTAGCTCGCTCACAAGCAAGGAAATACATGCCAATCTATTACGTCGATACAATGCTTATAAAGAACCTTCCCGTTTCTTATGCATTTTACTCTCTGTTGATTTAACGTGTAAGTGAATAACAGAAGGAATGAATAATAACAGATAAAGGAATCTATTTGTTGGAAAAATACGTTGATTATGATTCTTGGTATCGATATTGACACACAGCAACACTTGCACCCTAAGAAAATATTTCCTGGATAACATCTTGTATAAATATAGTATTTTACATTACAGGGATGGCAATACTTATATGTCCAATTACTTCAGCTTGAATTGGACATAGAAAGGTTTATATGTCCAAATGTCCAATTCACGCAATTTCAATTTGTTCAATTGCCAACTCCGAATTAGCGCAAGGGAATACTTTTGACAGTAATTCATATGGGCGTCCATTCATCCAACGCGTCAGGACTGACTTCCAAGATGAATTTAATCGACAGTTACAATTGGCCTCAACTACTTGGATAATTGTAATTTCTAGGGAAGTTGTCATAAAATTTAAGACAAAGCCTAAAGTATCAACTTTATTCTCGAGACAAGAAAAAATGGAGCATCTATTAATTATTTAGAGTATCTGATTCGTGCTGCGATTCCTCGATTTACTGGCCATCTATCCTATACTCCAACGTCTACAACGTGGATTATTAACTCTAATCTTAATTTTCATAAGAAATTAGACTGACAATCAATATATTCAAGGAATTTCTTAGATATGTGGTAGTGTACAAGAGGCACCCAACGCATCTACATACTGCAAAATTAGTGAACATGACTTCACAGGAAAGGCTTTAATTTTAAGAATGAATTTTATTATTAATCAATATGAGAAACTTTGAGCAAAGATTGCTTAAGACTATTAAGTAACATATTTTATCGTTATATTTGTTTGCATTTACATGAGAGAACAATTGGAAATAGAATATTGTTAGAAACGTGATCTTCAAGTCATGTAATTGGAAAGTGAAAAACCTTGCGTTCTGAGTAAGTGAACACAACGTTAAAGGCAACAATTTTAATGATCCTGTAAAACTGAGGGATGAAATATAGTATAGGTGACACCTACTCTAAATCAATTGACTTTTTATTAAGGGTGTTATCTATATTATATTTCGTTCAAACTGAAATTTAACCATCAAATGAGATCATTCTGTTCTGTGATGGTATAGTCATGATTTATGATTTTATTTCTTATTGCATTATTGCTAGGAAAGGATGTCGGCGTTATTAAGTATTCCATTTAATATACGATAGCTTACATCTTGATTTTAAGGCTTACATAATTAACAAGACTATTTGTGCTGAAAATTGGTAATGATTTCCGATCATGTTGTATATTAAATTTCACCCATTGATACATCAAATTCATTATTTGAATTATAGATAAAAAATCAGCTTACATATAAGCCTCAGAAAATTAACTTAGCCATTTCAATAACTATTACGAATAATTTGGCTAATATTCTGTGGTACCATTTCTACTGATTAGTGAATTGGCATGACTTTCATCTGGTATTAAGTTCTGAAAGGCATATCAATTATCTAAAGATTGTGCAAAGATCACTTTGTGAACATCGTTCATACTCCCTATTACTTGTGCTATATCATTTAATAGTTCCCATGCAAGTACACTATCACTATACTAAACTCTAAGTACTAGTTCATATAAGGACGTTCATTTAGGGGCCAACATTTATCACTTGCAAATGATTGATAGCATTGATGTTATTAGGAGTGCTAGTGCAGATGGCAGAATGGGCGTATTCAACTACTTTAAAGATGTAATCTAATTTTCGTTATGTTGTCTATAATATAAGCAAACCAAACCTGCTTGTAGGTATAAGGAGGAATCCCGTTTACTCTGGGTTGACTCAGGACTAGTTTTAAACTATCTTTTTTTCGTCAATAATCAAAGATTATTTAAGAGTTTCAAATATTCCTTAACTTTTTCGCAAGATTTATAGATGAGAGTTCTGGAACTTTTCATGTTTCACTAGGGATGACGATAAATCCCTTAAATACGTCTTTCGACCAATGATTTGTATCTTTGAATTTTTACATAATACGGCACATTAAAAAAATATGCAGGAGGATCTTTGTGGAGATGCTTATTTTTTATTGACAAGATAACGCTAACTCGATTTAATAGTCAATACTTTATAATAAATATTACCCTGTTTACTCATGGTACGTGTGGGGTGAGTTAAATCTAATAGAATCTTATCAATATAAACTTTATTACAAATACGTATAAAATTCATCAAAATTTATCAATGATTAGGTTTTTAACCTTTTTTATTACTCTTGTCATTATTTATAATAAATGAGAAAAAAAGTATCTAGCCTCCATTTTAAACTATATATAAAAAGCATTGGATGCTAATTAAAATTCTCATTACGTAAAATAAACAATAAATAATGTGGGGTACTTACATAATCAAATAATTTAACATTGTAAAATCATATCATATGTTAACGAAAAAAAATTTATAGTATTGTCGACCTAATCTTTGCTTGAATCGAATTTAAATAAATCAATGGAACTGAAAAAAAAGTTCTTCAATCATTTATTAACATTATTGCAACTGTGGGAGGACTCCTGGGACTTTTTTGCGTGTATGAGCTCTCATGTTAGAAATAATCATTTCTATATATGGATCACGATGACTTTATGATACGTAATGTGTGTAAGAAATAATCATGATCATGATCATACATAATATAGTATGTTCTCACACGATTAAAACCAAATCAGGAATTTAAAATTTATTGTTAACGCTAACGATAAGGGTGAAATTGTTTAATATACGTACAATCGGGGATGTTAACCAAGATAGGTTATTAATGAACTACCATAAATTACCAAATTGCTATGGTTATAATCAAAATTTAGCCAATAAGAATTTTTTAATCTTTAGCTTTAGTATTCTTTTACTGTGTAGCTTCGCCAAGAGTCTAGACACTTTCGCGGGCACGTGATGTGAGTTTAAATTTTTACTTTAGCTTAGGGTTAGAAGGTAGAATTCTTAGTTATAGCTTTAAAAAATTAATTTCTATATACAAAATTACATTTTTGATATTTTTGTTAGTGCTCAAAGCCAATTTAAATAATAGTTTTTCAAGTATAGTTAACTCTCGTTAATATCAACCTTATTAATATCTAAACTATAAATAAATTTTATACAGTACCGTATCAGGTCGTGAATAAGCACCCCCCTTTGCAATTTTCATATCCAAATTTCTCATGATCTAGTGATCGAATCTGCATAATTTTGGTACAATGATTCGAATAGTACCAAAATTATGCAGATCCGAAATTTGATAATTACAAAAGGTGGGTGCTTATTCGCAGCAGGATACAATATTAAAATTATATCATATTAAAAGTTTTTACATATGTTGTGCCTGAGATAAGTCAAATGTCTCAATTGGCCAAAATTAACAACCTAAACAAATTAATTTAGGCAGTATTTTAGTAAATTGACATCTGAGCCGTCCCGGGACAAATCTAGGTTTAATATAATCTCTTAAAACTAACATATTATTGGTTCTTCTGAAACTAGATCTATACCTCTCGATATTTGGAGCATATTCTGGTTAATAGTTCTAACAACTTGGTTATCACAAACCGAATTGGATGGGGACAATTCGTTGACAGTATTTCTGTTGACATTTCCTAAAGGCAATTACAAAAGTGTAAATTATAGCACATATAAGAATAAAAAATAGAGTTTAATTTTATTTATTATATACATATATATATATCAATATATATTCTTTTTTTACATGTCTTTTTAATAGCATATATATTCAACGTTACTTTTACTTTTATCAGAGACAAGATTAGTAAAAAGTTGTCACTTATCATGTACGTACGTATATGACCCATTATACACTGTTTTGCAGCAGTTCCTTGGATTGAACATCCGGAATTCGTTCCCACCAGGCATGGATTCGGGGAACACATAAACTTTCTCTTGTAGTCTTGGATTTAATTTATTGCGTTTTACATTTAGATTGGACGGTTGTCAGTCAGAAAACACTACAATTATGCAAGTTTCAATTTTCCACTTCTCTAAAGAAAATTCCTATTGATGTGTATGTTTTATGATCTCTTTAATTCTTCCCTAAAAAAATATAAACAATAAAACGTCAGTTTCACATGACCTATCTTAAATTTGCTATCGAAGGAAAACAATAAAATGTCAGTTTCACATGACCTATCTTAAATTTGTTATCGAATCTTTCCATAGATTAAATAACTAATGTTGAAACAAAGATAGTTTCAATGAATCGATCCTTGAATTTAATGTTTCGCAGACTTAATCTGAGAATCGAATTCGAATTTGTTTTCCGCCCAAATTTGGATTCACATAGAAATTCGATACGTCAGATGTAATCAGATTCATACTTAGATCCGATTAGAGATCCGATTAGAGATGGACGATTGTTAATAAATATTACTTATTATCGTATTTAACAAACATTGCGCCAGAATTTTTTACGTAATAAGTATTATTAATAAGTAAAAATTGTGGTGTTTGAAAAAAAATGAGTCTGATCAAATTTTTAAAGTTATGTCATTTAGGTTGTATTGGTAAACATAATAAGTAATAATCAATCGTATATGACAGCAAGTAAGGGGTAAAATTAAATAATTATACGATAGGGTGAAACCTAAGTTGCGCGAAATAGTGAAATCCGCTATGATTATCATATGAGGGCGAAATCCATATAATAAAAAAAGATAAAACGCGGATTTCACCCTAACACGATCTACAAAGCGGATTTCACTATTTCAGTATTTCTCTCAACTCAGGTTTTACTCTGTTCTAAAATTATTACTTATTTATTACCCTAGACTCGATCGGAAAATATTCGGATCTTTAAAGTATTCATCTAATTTGGTCCGTGCGAAAAACTACTTAATTGATTTTAATATTGTGCAGTCTAAAACTAATATCGCATGACCAAGTTTCATAAATCAAGTTTTTTTTTTAAATTAGGGTTAGTTAGAGTGGTGAAGATGGGAGTCAATCAGTGCAGATCAATTAGTGCCGGCTAAATAGTTAATATCTGAGATGTTTCAGTTGTCACCTGAGGCAAATTGACAACATAGAAATTTTGATCTTTTATTTTTATAAGCAATGATTGAATATATTCGCGAAATAACGCGCAGGGGTATAATTTCAAAATTTGACCCAAATTAAGCTTAATTCGGATCATTATTTTTGTCAGTAAGTATTTTGAACTAGTTTAATAAAATTTCTTAATAATGAATTTGATTTGTTATTTTTTTTGATGAATTTACCAGTAATTAATCAGAAAATTTTATAAATTACAATCATGTGCACAATATTCATATAGTAGTGACTAACGAAGCATTATTAGGTCAAACATAGAATTTTTTTTAAATCACTTGTAAATTTTTATAACACTGTATATACTGTTATTTTATATTAAATCTGAGTCAGTATATGTATGATAGACTTTAAAAAAACTAAGAATTATTGTTTATACGTATATGACCAAATAATTTAAAGTTAATGGTTGGATTGGTGTTAATTCGTGATTTACGATCACTCGATCGTTCGAGTTTTACCCGAATTATTTGAGCTTTAAATTACTGTTTTACAAAAGCAAATGTATTTCATATTCCGATAAGCAAAGGAAATCAAAATTTGT